ACACACACACACACACACACACACAGGAACATGACTATTTCCCGTCAGAAACTCGTTCTTAACCCTCCTCCCTGCAGTAACGTCACCCATCCTCTGAAATAATCTCCGCTGGTTAAAGAAAAACAAAGAGTGAGACCTGTAATGGTGGAGTCTCAGAGAGCCGTCACTAGTGTGGAGATGTATTTATCTCCATAGCAACAGCGAGCTTGGCTCAGGGTGAAATGCGGAGCAGAGAAAGGGTTTGTTCTGTCAGCAACAGCACCGCTGAACGAGGTGAAGGGGAGGACGTGAAACCCTGAGACTTTAGGCGTCATCTTCTGGAGAGCGACGAAGACGCGGAGCGGGTTCCTCTGATGTGGTCGTGACTCTGCAGAGTTGAGTCAGTGGTTTTGTCTCCGCTCCACATGTGGATGCTCCAGATGTCCATCTGCAGACGGAGTTTGATGATTGACTCTAGGGGGAGCCAACCTCTTAGTTCCCTACCAGTTTGGTTCCTCGACATTTGTTGGAAGGGCCCCCTGCTACCTTTCCTGTATCTCTCTCTCTCTCTCTCTCTCTCTCTCTCTCTCTCTCTCTCTCTCTCTCTCTCTCTCACACACACACACACACACTCTTTCAATGAATACTAATGCAGCGAGCGGACCCACCTCCCTTCCTCCCATCTTTTTTGCGGGGATGGGCGGGAGAGGGGAGACGGAGCAGCTCAGTATCTTTCCTCATGAGGTAGGCAGCGCTTGACTAGCAGCAGCCCCCCCAATGTCCTTTTTCTTTTTTTCCTCCCACTGAGCAAGGCTGCCGTTTGCTGCAACAGTGTGTGAGGGGCGTGCAATATCTGACCAGAGTTGGGGGAAAGAGGGGAGTCGGACATCTGCTCCTGCTTCTTTCATCATCTGGATGGGAAGTGCTTTTGGGCAGGAGGAAGAGAAGAGAGCCGAAGGAAGCCGGGGAGGGGGAACAACTGGCAGCAGCCAATCCCCCCTTCCACCTCAGCCTGGAGACCACGGAGCCCACCGGAGTATTTGCTTTTATCTTTCGTTTCCTCTTCTTTTTCTTCCTCATCGCGCTGCTGGGAGGCGCTCTACCTTTTCATTTGCTTGCTCTGTCGCTCCTCTGCCTTCTCATCTATTTCGCCATCTACCTGGTCAACAATTTCTTCTGCTTATGAGCCAGACGAGGAGTGGGGAGACAGGCAGAGAGACAGACAGGCAGAGAGTGAGACAGAGGAGGGGGATTTTTTTCTCCCCCTCTCTTTTTCCTCACCCGTTCCTCCTTCCCTCTCCGCTGCTGTCACACCAGCTTTTTCTTCCCCCTCCCTCCATCACCCCCACCCCAGTGTCCACCCGTAACTTTGGCTACTTTCTTTTGTAGCTCCGCCCCGTTTTTATTCCTTTAATGGAGTCATTTATAATTCCAGTTCCACCTTTTCCCACGCTCCTCTTTTTCCCTCCCACCTTCTTCATCTCAGACTGACTCTTAAATCTAATCATAGGTAGGTCTGCCTTTGTTTTGTGTTTGTGACACACACACACACACACACACACACACACACACACACACACACACACACACACACACACACGCACGCACGCACGCACGCACACACACACACACTCACTCCCCACGTCACTCCTCCTCTCATCCGTGTTTCCAGACTTTTTCATTGTTGTCACAGCCGACCGAGGGCCGGCGACTCGTGCGGCGACTCGTGCGGCGACTCGTCACCATGGTGCTCCACTTCTGACCGCCTTGTCGTTTATTTTCATGTTGTTGCCCAAAAGTGTTCCTTCATTAAACGGCTTCACCACCTGGCTTCCTCGTCTCATGTCTTCCTTGTTTGTCCTCCTGTTGGCTGTCCAACATACAGAGACACCTCCTTGCCCGGGGGGGGGGGGGGGGGGGGGGGGGTGTTGTGTTCCAGTCTCCTGGCTCGGTGCTTCAGCAGGTGAAGGTCAAACCGAGCTAAGGCCTGTTTCACAACTCGCCAAAGCCAGCGCTCGCTCGTCCATCCTCTCAGGATGCTCCACACTCCTCTCTCTCTGCTGCCCTCCTTTCCTCTCTCCTCCCTCTGTCTCCTCCTTCTCCTCCCGTCCTTCTGGGCCGTCTCATTCCTGGACACAGACACACACAAGCACCTGAAGAGAATAGACTAGAGAAAAGCTGGCTTCGTCGTCCAGAGGATAATTTTTCCCTCTCTTTCCCCCCTCCGCTATAATTTTTGCCTTCTCCTCCTTCATTCATCCATTCTTCTTCCACCGATCACCTCCTCCACATCCATCCTCCCATCGATGCATCATCCTCTCGTTCTGCGACTGGATCATTCACACTTGCATCCACCAGGGAGGACTTGCTGCTGATTTTTGCCATCTGTGATTCCCGTTTTACTGATTGTGTGTTTTGGTGTGGAGTGTGTGATGCAAATAAACCATATAACTCATCTTTTTGTTCCTGTTCTTTTATATTTGCATTTTTTCCCCCTGAAGGAGACTTAAAGCCGCTTCGCCTCTTTACACGAAGATAAAGGAACTCATGATCAACCCTCCCCACCACAGAGGCGCTCTGGATGTAGATGTTTTCCTGTGGAATTACCCTTTAAGTCCCGGATTAGGACTCCGTTCAGAACAAATATCAACCCCGGTTTAAAAATCGATCTAAAATCTGGACACTTGAGACACTTTTGAAGGACCGGAGCTGATTCCAGGACTTCCTTCAACTACTGAGTCTTAATGGGATTTGAACTCTCGTGGATTAAAGACTCGGACAGCAGTTAGCTGCTGTGATATCGGTGCTTCTTAGCACACCATCATGTTTAGGGTTAAAGGTTAAATAGGTGAGTACATTTCTTTAATGCTGCTGCATCCTGTGTGAATGTGTGTGTGTGTGTGTGTGTGTGTGTGTGGCCGCTGATGGATGCTCGTGGATTTTTATATTTCAATTTGGGATTTTTTTCACTTCAATCAAATCAGAAGTTAAAAGAAGGAAATTAAACGTATACGTCTAAAGAGAAAAAACCTCTCCTGCCTTCTCTGGAGTGTGTGTGTGTGGGAGGAGTGTATGTCAATAATGTACACGAGGGAAGGCACAAGGCCAGCCTAATCCCACAGAAATTATTCTTTTCAACAGCTATTCCACCTTAAATGTCAACAGTTATCAGCTCAAGTGGACGAGATTGTAGCGTTTCCTAATTTTGGATTTTCTGCATTTTTTTAATATTTGTCTGCAAAAAAAATCCACATGAAAACACACACACACACACACACACACACACACACACACACACACACACACACACACACACACACACACACACACACACACACACACACACACACACACACACACACACACACACACGAGATCCCCCTGACCATCCATCTGTCAGGAGTGCGGCGGTGATCGACCCCGCTTCTCTGATTAACTTTTCAGTCATTCGACAGCGGTTCAGATTTACACTGTGTGTGTGTGTGTGTGTGTGTGTGTGTGTGTGTGTGTGTGTGTGTGTGTGTGTGTGTGTGTGTGTGTGTGTGTGTGTGTGTGTGTGTGTGTGTGTGTGTGTGTGTGTGTGTGTGTGTGTGTGTGTGTGTGTTTGGCACCACACACGTAAAACCCACCGGAGACCTGCTCTAGCAACCCAAGTCTATTACCCACAATGCTCCTGGCACACGCGCGACCCCTGCGACCTGCCCACAGATGGGCACTTAAGCTCAGGTAGTCCGTCAGAGCTGTCCCGGCTGCCGAAAGGACGTCTCGGGATCAAACGTGGACTTCTGTCTTTAACATAAAACCATCGCCAGGATCGTTCCTGGCAGCTGGGACTCATTTAGCAGGAAAACCGCGTTCCACACGCCGGATACGAGCGTCGGAGAATCACTTCTAGAGATCAGGCTGAACTATCACTCTGGTTTATGTGGAAATCTGGGGCGCTACAGAGTGCTTCTCCAAACTCCGTGGTGCCAGGAGCTTTGAGTAAAGAGAGAAGTCTTCCACATGGAGCTTAGGGAGATTTCACGGGCGACGCTTTTGCTGTCATCACCGATAAACAGGCCAGGAGAGGGGAGACAGCAATCCCATCCCCTTCTTCCTGTTCCTTCTCCATCCGTGTGCCTCTCAGCTCTGCCTCATCCATCTTATTAGGAATTTTGTATTCCAGTAGCTAAATGTGCCGCTTAGGAATCTCCGGAGTGCATCATAACCTTCAAACCTGATTTTAGGCTTCTAGAATCGGAATGGGAGACGGCACGCGGCGCTGTGGGACGGCCTCGTCCATCATCTGAGTTTAAACCGGCCAATCGGCCCGCAGAACTTCATCTAAGGCTCGCGACGACGCGTCCGGATTCAAACATCCACGCGGAGGGGGGCAGGATGTGGGTCATGATCCCATTTAAAAAGGCTTTTCAATAATTCAGCTGAGCTGATTAAGAGGACATGCATCGACAGAGACGCTGTCCATGAGACACGTCTAGGCCTTTTTACAGGATTAGGACCAAGAACCCAGATCACATGTTGCTCTGTGTGTGTGTGTGTGTGTGTGTGTGTGTGTGTGTGTGTGTGTGTGTGTGTGTGTGTGTGTGTGTGTGTGTGTGTGTGTGTGTGTGTGTGTGTGTGTGTGTGTGTGTGTGTGTGTGTGTGTGTGAGGCCCATGGATCTATTAAATATGAAAAGTACAATCTGTTGCCCTGCAGAAACGGGTTCATTATTCATCAACATGTTCCACTCAATCATTCATTTACCTAAAGCAGGACTCGGCTTTAAAACCCGCTCTTCCTCTTCCTCTTCCTCTTCCTCTCGTCTGCCGTTTGAAACATTTTTGATTCACCACGTTGGGCTTTGCTTGCTTCATAAACACGCACACGAATCTCAACGAGGTTCGGGTTGTTCCTCTGCTAAGTTGTACCTCTGAACCTGATTTATGAGCTCAAAGCCGGCGTGGCTTCATCGGCCTCTAAAGTGACTGTGACCCGCTTCTAACCCTCCGTCCTCCTTCTTTCCTTCTGCGATAACAGACCGGCAGACGGAAAAACAAGACTCGGCGTTTGGGAGGAGCACGAGCGAAGCTGCACTCACGCCACAGTCCTGACCCTTTGAGGGTTTTACCCACGGCCGCTGTAAGTTCTGCTTCCTGGTCCGAGTCCGGCGGAGGGGACGCTCATGCTTCACCTTCGCTGGACCCATAAACGCTGAGCGAGCGGTAACTCCATTCATCAGGATAGCTGCACACAGCTGGTTGAAGCAGGTGGAGGGACGTTCTCGAAGGCCGCCACCCAGCATGTTTTAGTTGTCTTCCTGCTCCAACACACCCGAGTCCTGGTTGAATCACCTGTTCAGCCGCTCGTCAGGCTCTGCAGAAGCCTGTGAATCACCTGCTGACTCAAACCAGGTGTGTTTAAGCAGAGAAACAACTAAAACATGCTGGAGGGCGGCTCTCAAGGACCAGGGTGGCCCACCCCTGTTCTGGAGAGAAAAATCTGATTGTTTTAATTCATTGAGACTGAAATCAGAATGAAGATGAGCTTCATTGTTTCACGACTCCCGAACAGACTTAATGCATCGTGTTTTCGTGTTCGTTCTAGTTCAGCCTCCCTCAGGCCGAGGCTATGAGCGGAAGAGAGGCGTCCCTGGCCACGCCACCATGCTGCTTCTGAGGAGCTGGGACGAGACTTTGGCTGGCAACACACCAGGTGAGACGATCCCGACGCTGCTCAGGCAGCCCGTCTTATCTCAGCTGCTCGTGTTTGGGCCTTCTGCTTTTTTCTAAAGCTCGATGGTGGATGTTGTAAAACTCCTGAGATCCTTTTGCTTTGTAGTCCACGCCAGGTTTGCTTGAGGGTCAGGATGATGGGTCAAGGTGGCGTCTGCAGACTATAGTGTAATGCTTGGTTTGTAGCACCGTGCACACTTTGATCAATGGCACGCGTCAGCGCATGGACGCCCGGCCCGGCCCGCGACCATCGGACTCATTTCCATAGCCTCACCTGCGTTGATCAGACAATTAAAGGAGTGGCTGAGTGTGTTTTCTGCGGCGGAAGCTTGTGACCAGTTGGACTCGCTATCTCCATGCGCTGCTGCTTGTGTTTGTGGGTGCAGAAACCGGGACCGTATGTTTCTGTGTGATAAGGCAGAAGAAGACATAACTCCCCTTCAGCTCCAGCACCATCTTACACTGGGCAAATGCAGCTTCCACAAAGGCCAATCAGAGGTCTCCATTACATCATTTCTCATTCGTTCTTTTTCTGAAGGCCTTGGGGTCTTCAGGCGACGTACTAAGTGCTTGCCTGTTTGTAATTTGGTCACTTTTTAAAAAGTTTTTATGCCCCTCGGCCGCGAAAAGGCAACAAGAAACCTGAGGGTTGCACATCAAAACACGGCGATTGATCGGGAGTGGCGTGCTGCGATGTTTGGTGGTGTTATGCTGCGCGATGGAGACAAAACCAACACAAAAGCACGTGAGCTCGTTCCCAAACGGGAGCGTTTCACATGTGAAACAGGAGCGAAAGTGTTCCACGTCGCTGGTCCTGCAAAGTCACAAAATCACGGGAGAATTGCGACACCACGCGTGATTTCAGACGTCCGCACAGTAACGAGCAGGAAGTGAGACAGCTGCATGTATCCACAAAGGTCTGGTTGATTTTCCATTCTGTTTGCATCAGCTACAGGGGTTTTCACTGGAAATGACGTACCTGACTCTTATTTGATGTTTTACACTGCTTACGTGTCCGACTTCCTGTCTGGTCTGGTCTAAACTGTGGAGTTTGACGTGTTTTGGAAGCATAATGTGTAAAAATTAGACTCGAAACGTAAGGATGGCATCCCTTCGCTTCTGGGACGCGTGCAAAACGCTTCACTTTGCAGTTGGTGGAAAGGAACTCGTCCACTGTAATGGCGGCGAGTACGTTTCGCGGCCTTTTTGCGCCACTTCCACGCCCGGTGGAAAGAAGGATTGCGTAGCGTCTGCCGAGCGTGGTGCACCGCACTTTGGACAATATGCTTCTAGAACGCGTCAAGCTCAGCAGTTCAGATCGAGCCAGATATCCGGAAACTTTCAAAATAAAAGTCTCGTGCAGAAAACGGTAACATAATTACCCGTGAAACCTCCGTAGCCGAGGTAGCAAGAGCAGAAATGAACCACGGATGTTTCTGGATACATGCTGCCATCTCTCTCCTAGCTTGCTATTGCGTGAACTCCCAAAATCACGCGTGATCTCGCAGTCCTGCGGTCCATCTGCGTGGAACGCTTTTGCTCCCGTTGAGCATCTGAAACGCTGCCGGTGGGAAGGGACTTAACGGATGTAACGCGCCTATTACGTTACACGCCTCTCATGCATCCAGTGGAAAGTTTCGGCCAAGGAACGTTCCCGTTATGGAATTTCGGTGAATCAGGAGAGAAAGCCCCGCCCCCTTTTGGAGCTCTAAAGCTCAGGTAGATGTCACAGATCCCCCCAGAGGGCAGAGAGGGCACGCTCGACCTCCAGTCTCACCCGGCCGCCGGCGTTTTGTTGAAAGTGGAGACGTGAGGTGGCGGTAATGGACTCTGCGTTAGGGACAGCGGGTCTGCTCGTCGTGGTCCAGCGGCGGGACGGCTCTCTAACGAAGCGCCTCAGCGTCGGCCCTCCATCGTCAGCTCCGGCAGCTGCTGACGCTGCAGAGTTTCTACTATTGCTTTACGTCAGACGGCATTACCATATAGATGAATTAGCGTCCATGTGGAATCCCATTTACAACCCCCCACCTCCGCCGTTTCCAGGTAGAAAGAGGCATTCACAAGCACGGTTGGAGGGTGGAAGTCTATTAGGCTTGTTATTGAACTTGAGCAAGCTTCCTGTCCTTAGAAAAGGTTAAAAGGAAACACACAGGCTGGAATAATGACTAAATGAGGACATATTGGAATAATAATGTCTCACGAGTTTAAAAAAGGGCTTTATCTCCAGCCTTTGTGTACCGCAGCTCAACTCATCTCATCCACACAGCCCAGCGCCCCTAATTAACCGTGGAGTGGCGTTTCAATCACGTTTTCAGTCGAATCCATTTAACTACGGATTCTTATTTAGACTCTGGGAGCCCATGTCATCAGTCACACCCAATAAGCTGGTGAAATATAAGGAGGGCACGATCTATGATGTCAAATACGGTGTTTTGTTGCTAATTCCAGGGTCAGTGTGTCTCTGCTGATGCAGTTTGTGGCACATTTACATGTTAAACAATCAGACGAGCTCCATCCACGCCCTCGTTTAACAATTATATTCATTTTTAAACAGACATTTCTTCATAAATTTGATTTTAAGGATCGTTAATATTTTTCAAACTAGGAGACTCTTTGAACAACCTCAGTTTGGAGAAACAGGGATTAGTTCTGACCGGATTGTTGTGCTAACTGCTAGCAATGTTAACTCATTCGCTGCCAGCGTTTCTCACCGTTTTTCCTGTTTTTTTAAGAGTGACAGAACGTTGCGCGCTAAGATGATGTCGACGCCAAAACAACCAAAACAAAGCGGAGACTCACCTTTTACATCAGGAAGAATCTGCGTGTTTTGAGCGTTATCCGTTCTTTTATAATCCGTTGTTGAATTGTGATCGGCAGAAGCTTTTCTGGTTCGCGCCTCACTTTTTTTACAGCAGCGGCCCAAAACGATCTCCTAACACATGGATTTTCTGCTTCCTGATCACGTGACTTGTGACGTACGTGGATGAAGATCAGCTTTAGAGCTGAGATGTTTGTTCTCACGGTGCAGGGGCTCGTCCGACGCCCACACAGTAAAAACATGCAAATGACGACTTTAGTCATCACTGGCAGTGAACGAGTGAATTCTAAAACAACGTTTTAACTCTTTTGGCCGGTCATAGGAGGGCACTCATGAATGAGAGGCGCTGCTGCTGGTGAGAACAGCTTAAGGTGCAGTACGACCGTCAGCCTCTAGATGGGGCTGTCAGATAAAACGCTCCAGATTTCTGCTTTAAAGCCAAAATTAGTTGATAGTCCACGATGTGCTGAACTTTCAACCAGTGATTTCCCAAGGAACCTTATTAATTAGCACAAACAAAAATCAGTGCATATAAACACATTAATTTCCAACTGGATTGAGGAGCTAACAGCTAGTCAGAGCAGGAACAAGTGCTGTCGTAGAACAACCCAAAGTCATTAAAGCGGTTCATTCAAACACAATTCTTTATAATCGTTCAACAGAAATGGGCAAAAATGTAAAACTGTTCTCCTAGCATAGGTGCTAAAGCTAACTAGCATTGCTACCAACGTCTGTTATAATTATCTGTGGAGTTAGCATATAAATGAAAAGGTAATGTGATATTACTAGCTCTATAAAAATGTATATAACAACATTAAAATTTACCGGTATGACATTGTTTAGATCATGGTTGTTTGAAAACAGCAGGAGTCGACTCTGACTAGCCGTTAGCTCACCACTCTGGTATTTCATTAAACCGAGGTGTTTCAAAGAGCTGTCCACCAAAGTCCAGTTCACAATCCTGAAGAATCCTTTTGACCATGGACGTAATTTTCACTTTAGAAGTGGAGGGGACGGGGGTGGGGGGGGGGTATCTTTACAGTAGGTTCTAATGGCAAACAGGCTTCAACAGAAACGGTTGTTTTTTGCTTGGTCCTAGAGCTCAACCAGTGTCAATTTAACATAGCGTAATATTGTTTTTGGATGGTAAAAAGTGCAGGGGTCACAACTTGACTTTGGAAAAAGTGGGGGGGACATGTCCCCCCCCCCCCACCACCAAATTACGCCATGCTTTTGACGCCCGAGCCTTCATAGCTCCGAATGAAGTAAAGTACAGGAAGGGAGAAGCAGGGGGATGTTTTCTAACCACCAAAACGAGCCGACTGACCTCTTGTGTCAATGTTCTGCGGTATCATTCTGTTTCGCCAACAAGTATGAAGTTACACAACAGTGTGTGGGCATATCTCATTAATTTAATAGTTGTAATTTTAAAACAACTTTCAAATTATCGCTGTGATGTAACACTGGCAGGTTTCTCTGTAATGAATACCGATCAGACGGAGCACGTTCGGCTTCACTGACGCTAAATTATCTGAATATCGCCGCACAAGAACACAGGCCAGGTCTCGGGTGGCTCCAGCTCTCAGAGTGATGCTATCTTCTGTTCATTAACATGAATTCAATTGAGCCCACATGCTTTAGTTTGACCCAAAAACAGCGGCTGAGATCTGCGTGGTGCATTCGACCGGGTTTCAAACAGCAGATCGATAGAGCTTCACTCATCCTTGCCCCCGGCTGAGGAGCGGCAGCATAAGTCACCCAGAAAACAGCCTGCAGATGCAGTCGTTAGCAGAGCGACGCACCTCCAGCGTCTGTTTTTTTTTCTTCTGGCACAGCATCAGATAAATCTGCGAAGGAGGCTTCAGGTGCCGTCCATGTTTGTGCTCCAGAGTTCGACATATCTCTGCTGAAATTAGTTCTCATTTACAGCAAACGACCTGAGAAGCACTTATTCATCCAGTGCATTGTGAAGCATGGCCTGTAGGTGGCAGTAGTTCCCCAAGACTTTGGCGTCTCTGCCAAAAGATATTTCATTGATGTGTAATAACTATTTAGTGGTCATCAATCGTCCTTTTCCTGTGGCCTTCTACGTAGAGCAGTAACTGAGCTGTGGGACACGAGCGAGTGTTAAGGTCACACGCCGTTTTGTTGCAGGCAGAGAT